CATGCACCACTCCCCATGCCCCACTCCCCACGCCCCACCCCCCATGCTCCACCCCCCACGAACGTGCACCACCCATCCCGGGCGCCACACAGGTGACGGAGGAGGCGCTGCTGGGCGTGCGCGGACGCAGCATCGGGGCGCTGGTGGTGTCGCTGAACCCCACGCACGGCGCCAAGCTGCGCGACCGCTACATGCTGGGCAAGCCGCTGGATGGCAGCACTGTGTCCGTCTTCAGGTGCGCTTAGTGTTGGTGGTGCTGGTGGTGTCGCTGGTGGTGTCGCTGAACCCCACGCACGGCGCCAAGCTGCGCGGCCGCTACATGCTGGGTAAGCCGCTGGACGGCTCCACCGTCTCCGTCTTCAGGTTCTACCCCACACCGTCTACGTTCCGTGCACTGTTCTCCAGCTCTGGTGCTGGTTTAGCAGACATGGTGTGCTCTGCTTACTCAGGGGTTCGCATGCCACTCTTGTGCTATGTGTCTGCATTCAGGAGTGGCTTTTGTTATTCGTGACAGACTGGAGCTCTCACTGGAGCATGAAACGAACAAGGCATGTCATCTTTTCTACACATCTCCCACCCATAAATCATCTCCCCGTGCATCATTTGCCATGCACCATCACGCATGCATGATGCACGTGGCAGTGTGAGTGGCGAGGGCGAAGAGAAGCAGGACGACCTGCTGCAGTACGAGCTCGCCGTCACCGAGATGTGGCTCCTCGCTTTCTGGTGCTCCCCCGACACCCCCTCTCCGCCTTCACTTTTTTCCCACTTCCAGCCCCCTTTTTCTCCGCCCTCTCTTTTTCCCCACTTCCAGCCCCCCTCCTCTCCGCCTCACATTCCTCCTTACCACCTCGCATGTTCCATGCTTTTGATTTTCTTCTTGCACCCATCTACCTCCAGCATCGCTCACACATCTGACTGATCTGCGACTCTTCTCACACCTCTTTTGTCATCCCACTCTTTACACCCGTATACACCTCAACATTGATCTCTCGCGACTGATTGGCGGTTTCCCCCCCCCCCCCCCCCCGCCCGTGCGCCCATACGCCCCTGTGGGGCTGCCAGCGATGTGCTGTTGGTGACGGACACGTCAACGTTTGGTTACGTGGCGGCGGGGGTGGCGGGGGTGACGCCCTACACCATGAACGTCGCCAAGTGGAAGCACAGCGACTGGCGCTCCAACGGCCGCCTCGCCTGCATGCTCGGCTCCTCCGAGCCCTGCTACGTGCACAAAGTGGAGGAGCAAGTGCTGGTGAGCGGATGACCGTGGGCAGTGCGCTTGTCGCTGGTACCCCATGAGACTGTCTTCAACTGTGAATGATTAACTCATGCATGCATGCCGTAACTGTGCATCTCTTTTTCAGTCTACCATTGCCTCCCACCATTGCTTTGCTCCTACTTCTCTCCACTACACATCTCGCCTCTCCGCAACACCATCCCTGCCATCCACTCTGCAACACCCTGCCATCCCCTCCCTTCCCCGTAGTGTCCCGGAGAGCCAGAGAAGCGGCCGCTGGAGAACATACCGCAGACGCGGGCGTGCCACGCGACGGGCGTGGGGCTCACCACCAACCTGCCGCCGCTGCCGCTGCCGTTGCCGCTGCCCTCCCAGCATGACGGCTTGGGTGGCGCACAACAAGCTCTACCAGCTGCTGCTGCCGCTGATTCTGCTGCTGGCATGGGTGCAGGGTCAGCAACAGCAGAGCGGGGAGGGCGAGAGGGGGAAGGGCGGGGTGAGCAGCGGGAAGGGGAGCAGGGAGCAGGGGATGCAGCGGATGGAGACCCTTATTATCTCGATGAGGAGCACACTTGAGGGAAGGCAACTGTGGCTGTGACTCTGCTTGTCAACAAGCATTCTTGTGAACGGGCATTGTTGTAGCCCTTGAGTGGTGATTTTTGTTGGAAATCCGAATACAGTATAACGAAAACTGTATACCGGTATGCTGTTCGGCTTTAGTGTAGTCCCCTTTTACCGGGCCACAATTATTGGAGTTCAGCATTATTGGAGGGTAGAGGGTAGAATTATTGGTACACCATTATTGGGGTGAATGGGGTCATCATGGGAGGGTAGCTTGGTGCATGTATACCTTGTTGTGTCACTTCATCATCATTCTACAGTTCAATGACAAATGCAAGATTTCTATCTTGTTCTTTTCTACAAACGCGTTTCCGCCACGCTGGCACTATGCCTTTGTATCATGGTATCAGAGATACTCTAGGGGGCATGCTGCCAGGCCTCTAGATTTATTTTGGGGCACGCTGATCGATCAGCGTGCACCCCTGTTGCAACTCTGAGAGTCAACATCCAGCCAAGTTTTTAGGTTGATAATTCAGCCCATGCTGAGAAACTTTCTCTGATCATTAAGTGTTACCGTATCACCCCGGATAGAACCGCATGTCAGAATGCTATAGTGCTTACATTTGTGTAGGCTATAATGGGGTAGCCCATAAGGGGTACAACCCAATTAGGGTTAGTACTTGTACCCAACTTCTGCTCAATGCATTCATTCTCGTTCGTGATTCTGACATGGTTTCAGAGCAGGTCCTTCGCTAGGACCGTTTTTTTTTTCCTTGGGCCCACCACACGCTGCCCCACTAACAGCCCCTAGCGGCCCTCGTGCCACCCCTACTGCCTCGCGCGCCACCCTCGTGCGGCTTGTCGCCCCTAGCCTTGGCCCGTCGCCCCTAGGCCCGTCGCCCCTATGCCGGCCCGTCGCCCCTAGCCCGGCCCGTAGGCCCGTCGCCCCTAGACTAGCCCGTCGCCCCTAGCTCGGCCCTTCGCTCCTAGCCCTGTCCGTCACCCCTAGGCCGGCCCGTCGCCCTAGCCCGGCCCGTTGGCCCGTCGCCCTAGCCCGGCCCGTCGCCCTAGCCCGGCCCGTCGCCTTAGCTCGGCCCGTCGCTCCTTGCCCGGCCCGTCGCCCTAGCCCGGCCCGTCGCCCCTAGTTCGCCCCTGGCCCCGCGGCCCGTCGCCCCTAACCTAGGCCCCGGCCCGTCACTCCTGGCCCCGCGGCCCGTCGCACCTAGGCCCCGCGGCCCGTCGCCCCTCGGCCCTCGACCCATCGCTCTCGGCCCCGCGGCCTGTCGCTCCTGGCCCCGCGGCCCGTCGCCCCTAGGCCCCGCGGCCGTTCGCCCCTAGGCCCCCGGCCCGTCGCTCCCGGCCCCGTAGCCCGTCGCACCTAGGCCCCGCGGCCCGTCGCACCTCGCCCCCCCCCCCCCCCCCCCCCCCCCCCCCCCCCCCTCTGACCCGTCGCTCTCGGCCCCGCGGCCCGTCGCCCCCCCCCCTAGGCCCCGCGGTCTGTCGCCCCTAGGCCCCCGGCCCGTCACTCCTGGCACCGCGGCCCGTTGCCCCTTGGCCCCGTGGCCCCTTGGCCCCTAGACCCCCGGCCCGTGGCCCCTTGGCCCCTGAGCCCCCGGCCCATCGCCCCTTGGCCCAGTGGCCCGTCACCCCTAGTCTCCCGGCCCGTCGCTCCCGGCCCCTCGGCCCGTCGCTCCTAGCCCCTGGCCCCGCGGCCCGTCGCCCCTAGGCCCCAACACATCGCCATGAGGCCGCCCCTAGGCCCTCGAGCCGCCTCTCCTGCAGCCTGCTGCATGCGCTGCGCTGCCCGGCCTCTGCCTGCCCTTCGTGCTGCGCCACTATGGCTTCTCTCCGCGTTCTAGCGTTTTATCATGAGGGCCGACCGATCCAGTTTGACACGTGGCTCGATGACTTGCAGCTGTACCTACTGAGCGACTCTAGGGATAGTGTTTCGTTGTTTGACCACACGTCTGGCGCTGCTCCCGCCCCTCCCGCCACAGCTGACAGTGCGACTCGCTCACAGTGGCTTACTCGTGACGTTGCTGCTCACTTAGCCATTCGCAACCACCTTCCGTTGGCCGAATGCGCTCACTTCGGACAGCACACGACAGCACAGGCACTGTACGACACTGTAGTCGCCCGTTACTCCTCGCCTGCCACTGCTGCTCTAGGCCGTCTTCTCCTGCCCTACCCGTTTTTCGAGCTGTCCGCCTTTGCCACAGTAGAGGACCTGGTTTCCCACCTTCGCACTAGCGACACTCGCTACCGCGCTGCCCTCCCAGCAGAGTTCCTTGACAGGAACCCTCCCCAGATGTACATCACTCTCTACTTTATAGTCACCCGCCTCCCTAACTCTCTTCGCGCTGTCAGGGACCACTTTCTTGCGCTCGACACCACAGCCCGTTGCGCCCCCACGGCTCCATTTTCCTAGGCCCGTCGCACTCCACGGCCCCGTTTTCCTAGGCCCGTCGCGCCCCTCGGCCCCTTGGCCCCTAGGCCCCGGCCCCTTGGCCCGTCGCGCCCCCCCCATGGCCCCGTTTCCTAGGCCTGTCGCGCCCCTCGGCCCCTTCGCCCCTAGGCCCCGGCCCCTTGGCCAGTCGCGCCCCTAGGCCCGCCGCGCCCCTTAGGCCCGTCACGCCCCCCCCCCCTCACGGCCCCGTTTTCCTAGGCCCGTCGCGCCCCTCGGCCCCTTGGCCCCTAGGCCCCGGCCCCTTGGCCCATCGCGCCCCTAGGCCCGTCGTGCCCCTAGGCCCGTCGCGCCCCTTAGGCCCGTCGCGCCCCGCCCCCACGGCCCCGTTTTCCTAGGCCCGTCGCGCCCCTCGCCCCTTCGCCCCTAGGCCCCGGCCCCTTGGCCCGTCGCGCCCCTAGGCCCGTCGCGCCCCTAGGCCCGTCGCGCCCCTCAGGCCCGTCGCGCCCCCCACGGCCCCGTTTCCTAGGCCTGTCGCGCCCCTCGGCCCCTTCGCCCCTAGGCCCGTCGTGCCCCACGGCCCCGGTTCCTGCCTGTCGCGCCCCTAGGCCCGTCGCGCCCCTAGGCCAGTCGCGCCCTACGGCCCCGTTCCTGCCCGTCGCGCCCCTAAGCCCGTTGCGCCCCAGGGCCCCGTTCCCTGCCCGTCGCGCCCCTAGGCCTCGGTCCCGGCCCTTCGCGCTTCTAGGCCCGTCGCGCCCTCCCCCCCCCCCTCAGGCCCCGGTTCCTGCCCGTCGCGCCCCTAGGCCCGTCACGTCCCGAGGCCCCGGTTCCGGCCCGTCACACCCCCAGGCCCCTCGACCCACGCCCCGTGACCCACGACCCAGGCCCCTTGGCCCCTAGGCACCTCGGCCCCCAGGCCCCTCGGCCCCTAGCCTCGGCCCCTCGGCCCCCAATCTTCGTGTTTGGCCCCTCGGCCCCTAGGCCCCTTGACCCCTTCAGCTACTGCGGCTACTACTGCTGCTGCTACTGCTGCTACTGCTGCTAATGCTGCTACTGCTGCTCCTGCATACTGTGCCACTATGGCCTCGCTTCGAGTTCTCGCATTCGATCATGAGGGTAGACCGGTTCAGGTTGACACGTGGCTCGACGACCTGCAGCTGTACCTACTGAGCGATATTAAGGACGCTGCTTCCCTGTTTGACCACGTGTCCGGTGCCGCTACTGCCCCTCCCACCACAGCTCACAGTGCGACTCGCTCACAGTGGCTTTCTCGCGACGCTGCTGCCCGCTTAGCCATTCGCAACCACCTGCCGTTACCCGAATGCGCTCACTTCGGACAGCACAGGACCGCACAGGCACTGTACGACGCTGTAGTCGCTCGCTACTCCTCCATTTCACTGCTGCTCTAGGCCGCCTGCTTCTGCCCTACCTGTTCCCCGAGCTGTCAGCCTTTGCCACAGTTCAGGACCTGGTTTCCCACCTTCGCGCTAGCGACGCTCGCTACTGCGCTGCCGTCCCTGCTGAGTTCCTTGAAAAGAACCAGCCCCCGATGTTCATCACCCTCTACTTCATAGTCACTCGCCTCCCTGACTCTCTTCGCTCTGTCAGGGACCACTTCCTCTCTCTTGACCCCAACTCCCTCACTGTTGACCTCCTTGAGCAGCATCTCCTCGCAGCTGAGACTAGTGCACTTGTTGTAGGTGCTGCTCGTGGCACTCCGCGCCCGCCCTTCTTTGAGGGGTGCTCCCCCTCCCCCCTTGCCCCCTCCTACGCCTCTGCTGCTGCTACAGACGTCTCTGTTGCTGAGAACTTCAGGGCTGATTCTGCTAGTGCGAAGCGCCGCAGCGGCAAGGGCAAGGGTGGCAAGGGTGGTGGAGGTGGCAGCGGCGGTGGTGGAGGTGGCAGCGGGAGTAGTGGTGGGGGCAGCAGTGGAGGTGGTAGCGGCGGTGGGACTGGTGGAGGGAGTGGGGGCTCTGGTGGCGGCGGTAGAGGCAGCGGTGAGAGTGGCGGCAGTGGCGGCAGTGGGACTGGTGGCGGTGGGACTAGAGCTCGGCGTGTTGGTTCTGGAGGTGGCCAGCGTCAGCAGCAGCAGCCTCGGAGCGAGACCCAGTCGCCTCAGCAGCTTCGTGAGTGGTTTTTGCGTGGGGCGTCTGGGGGTAGTTGCCCGTATGTCATTCGCACGGGTGACCGTGCTGGTCAGACTTGCGGGTGGCTTCACACTCAGCACCGGTGCTTCTCCCGCCTTGACGACGCTTGGCGTGCTGAGTTTGGTGACGACGTCGAGCTCCCTCGCTGGGCAGATCTGCTTAGGTCTAGGATTGCTATCTTTGACCTAGACTTTGATGCTATTCTTTATGCTATGTATGCTTTGTCTGTTAGTGCTGAGGATGACTGTTACGAGTGTGTGCCGCCTGATCCAGGTATAGCTGCTACTGCTCTAGGTGCTAGCGAGTCTGGTACTCTCCTTGGTACTGCGCCTGCTGAGGCCTTGCACACCTTCACGCTGGACTCAGGCACCTCACGCTGTTTCTTTCGTGACAGCACCACTCTCACTCCTCTCTCTACACCTGTCCCGGTCCGACTGGTTGACCCCTCTGGGGGCCCGGTCGTG